TTCTTCTTCTTCTTCTTCTTCTTCTTCTTCTATTCATTAAATGTTTAAATTTTTAAGCTACTTTATTTTATTTCTTCATTCCTCTGAGTTGACAAGACTCACAAGTAAATCTCCGTGGGTCGAAATAACTATTCGAATGGCGTAATTTTGGATTCCTATTCTATCTTATATATATATATATATATATATATATATATATATATATATATATATAACATAGAATAGGAATCCAAAATAACTTTTCATTTGAATAGTTATATATATATATACATACATAATATATATATATATATATATATATATATATATATATATATATATATATATATATATATATATAATGAGAAAGTAAGATTTATAATCCGGTGTTCTTATTAATTATTTTTTATTTAAAAAAACAGTGTTCAAAACAATTCAGTAGAGCTTTGCTAATTTAGCTTAGTTAAGTTTCTGTTTTTGAAACATGGTAATTTCATCTGTAGCGATGGAACCATAATTTTCAATTTGTAAATTTATAATATATGTGTGTGTGTGTGTGTGTGTGTGCGCTCGCGCGTCTGATATCCATAAAATGCCAATATGGACGTACGTACGAGGTAATCATGTTAGAGTTGCATCTAAATCATTTCTGCCTGTGAAACACTACAAGAGATGAACCTTTTGCTTTTTGGCGCAAGGTCATTGGCTTTGCATGAAAGAACTTTTGACATTTTAATTTAAGACACTGCATTTGAACGGCAACTCCTTACATGAAAGCCGATCCTTAAAATCGTTTTGCTGTTCTCTTCAAACATTCTTATCCCTTCTGATCATAAACATCGAAAACTTTTTCGTCAGCAGTCTAATAAATTAAAATGTCTAGAATATATATATATATATCTCTTCTAGTCCAAAGGTTCAATGAAAATTAAGCTACTTTAACTAAATTGACAGTTAAAATTATCAGACATTCATCAGATAGGTGTAAAAGATTCTTTCTGTACTGTATCTCCTCAGGACGTAGGTGATTATGGCTCTCCACAATTTCTTGTCCTTTGTAGCTCTTAATAACCTTTTTTGTTGTTTCCGCCATTCTTTTACTTAAGCTTATTAAGCATGTTATTTTATTATTATTATTTCCTCTTAACCTCAATCTAACCTGTGAGTATCAGATTTTCCAAGCCCTCTTTCCTCAATATGTGCGCTAGAAATTTTAAATCTCTTTTCTTAAATATAAGTCACCTTTTAAAAATACTTTTTTAAAATAGTTACCGAGATAATCATGTCAGAGTTGCACTTAAACATTTTCTGATGACATGCTTGTAAAAATCGGTTCTTTAAATGGCGTTGAAAACTTAGAAATCTTGAGAAGGTTGGAACAAGATTCTTTATGTACAGTATCTCCTCAGAACGCAGGCAATCATTGCTCTTCAGAATTTCCTGTCCTTTGTCGCTCTTAATAAGTTTTGTCTTTTCGTTATTACTCCTAAACCCTGTTCTACCATTTATTTACTCAAACTTATTAAACATGTTATGCGTTATTTTCTCAATCACCCCTTAAACTCAATCTATCCTGTGAGTATCAAATTTTTCAAGCCCTCTTTTCTCAATATGTGTCCTAGAAATTTAAACTCTCTCTTCCTGAAGTTAAATATGTTTCATAATTGTTTTTGAAAAATATTCACAAGGGACGGTAAGATAAAAGAATAAGGACATACTACTTGGATAGGCATGACATTTAAAAAAAAAAAATCCTCTTCTCTTTTGAAATAGCCTTCGAAAACAAGGTCTCCAGAATCTTTAGACTGAAGCAATGTACATTTGTCTTGCAATAAAACTCCGAAATAGATACAATATGTATTGTGGCTTTCCTCAGGTTTGTTTTATCAGCATCCATCCGTTGTTAACGAGATGGTAGACAAATGCCGGCTTTAATATCGGGCCACACGGCATCTCTTATGAAGAGCATCAGTTCGGTCATTAAAGGAAGAAAGATCTAAAGAGACCAGGCGGGAACTGCGGGTACCGCGCGCACCTTAAGATGATCAAGAAAGTTCTAACTGCTTGTGTTTCCTAAGAATCAGGGTGGAAAAGCAAAAGTTAATTCATGGGTGGAGTCAGTGTGTAAAGAATAAACGAATCATCAGGTCATCATCATCAGCACACACACACACACACACACACACACACACACACACATATATATATATATATATATATATATATATATATATATATATATATATATATATATATATAGAGGACTGATGGAAATGTCTATGTTAGATCCCTTTCCAAAATTCCGATCAAATGGCCAAAGATAGTAATTTAATTTTCAGGGGCTTTCTTTGAATCGAACCCTGAAATTGTATATATATATAGAGGGTGTAAAAAAGTAGGTATACAGTATTTATAATACCGGTATTTATTCTTCGGTCGAGTTAACTCGGACATTCATGAGCTTATCACGCCAACCATCACGGACCCGCAATCAAGGTTGGAAAGTTATTAGGAAGGCATT